AGGCCTCTTGCGCAAGAACGGCTGTTCTTGCACCAAAACTTGTGGAGCATTCACACTACGAGCCCATTCTTGCACAAAAAAATGTACTGTAGATCGTCAGAAGAGAGGGCTTTTTGCGTAAGAGTTATTCCTCTCCCCATGAGGAATAAGACTTTTTGCACAAGAGCTCTTGTGCAAAAAGGCTAGTGTGGACAGGACCAGGGGTTTCTTGTACAAGAAACCCCTATGACTAAAATGGCCATCAGAGCTTTCTTGCGCAAGAGAGCGTCCACACTGCCATGGAAGCTCTTGCACAAAAGCACATCTGTTGCGCAAAGGCACATGGTAGTGTGGACTCATTCTTGTGCAAGAAGCCTGTAGTGTAGACCTAGCCAGAGAATACAGCTCATCAAGAGTAGGTAGGGTTACTTCTGAACAGTGATGTTGTTGCAGCACTGAATCATGCCTAAACTTAGTGTTAGGGTCACGCAGACTTTGCCCCTCTCCCCTCAATGCTGTCCAGATGAAATGTGCTTAAGAAATGTTTACTAACAGCCAGCCCTGCAAATGTAGCCTGGGAGCTGAGAGTGAAATGGGTTACACCTTCATTGATGGCAGTGGCTTACATGAGATTTCAAGCCTGTTTTTAAAATAGTGGGATGATAAGCCTACCCACAGTTCTGGATTAAACTGGCCTGTTTTGCATCAGTTACATGACCAGGCTCTAAAATTCAGGGAAGGCAGATGACACTTGATGGGTATTTTCTCTTACCCTTCTGTAATGGGGCAGGACTCGCTATTGTGGCGCCACCTGCTGGTTGTCTTGGGAGTTAGCTCAAGTCCAGCTCCCGTGTGCCCTCTTCTGGTGAAGCCACGACTATCCTCGTTCTGACCATCTCCATGGTCTCGATCTTCTCTGGACCCACATCACTCCCTGACCCTGGTATCCTCTTCAGGGCACAGCACTCCAGCTGCACCCCAACTCAGTTCTGCTCTTCCAACGGAACCGGTATTCCTCAGTCCAGCCTGCACCAGAGTGGTGGATTGTAGCCTGTAGTCCAGACTCTCACCACAAGATGAACTGCTGTACTTTGCTGGTCACTTCCTTCAGCGGTCAGAGGGTAAAGGGGAATGACCCAGGCCCTCCGACTACTCTGGGCCCCGGTTCTGAGATCCTCATGGGCAGCCACCTACTGCCCTCCTCCACTTCCCTCTCTTGCCTGCCTTCCCTGAGCCACTACCCCGGTGCCCTTGCTCCCTCTTGGTCCTTTGTATCAGGAGCCCAGTCTGGCTGTTATCAGGCTGGAGCTCCCTCTGGCATCCCTAATTTTGCCCAGCACTGTTCTGTCCCTGAGGGTGTATCTAGACTACAGGGTTTTGTCGACCAAACTGGACTTTTGTCAACAAAACTATACCTGCGTCTACACTACTGCCGAGTTCTGTTGACAGTAAGTCAACAGAACGCGGCAGTTTTGTCGACGGCGGTAAACCTCATTCAATGAGGAATAACGCTTTTTGTTGACAGAGTTCTATCGACAAAAGGCGCTATTGCATCCACACTGCTTTTTTAGAAGAGAGCGTTTACACTCTCATGTCGAAAAAGCAGCTTGCTTTGTTGACAGAACTGGCTGTAGTCTAGACGCTCTTTGTCGACAGAGGCTTTGTCCAGATACTGTCGACAAAGCCTCTATTGACAAAAGCCTGTAGTCTAGACGTACCCTAAGGCAGCCAGTCCTTCTCCCTTGCCCTTCAGGGGCGGGCTGCCTTCTGCTCTGCAGAGCAGCCCTTTATATCTGGGATGTTGCAGCAAGCTGTTTCCCTGTTGGCTTTCAATAAGCTTATCCCAAATTGGCTGGGTTCTGGGCAGATTCCCTCTGGCCTGCTTTAACCCACCTTATA